AATATTTTAATTTTTTGTATTTTATTATTTTTAATGAATTTTTTTATTTTAATTTTCTCAAATTTATTTTTTTTCATAGTAGTTCTCATCATTAATATTTACTATTACAAAATGCTATTGACCTCATAGAATCACCATCTCGGATTATTCTAGGTAATATATGTTTGTGTGGTGGAGATTGAATTCATAAAGTATGAGATTATTATTTTTTAACCTCTACAAAATAATCATTCCAGTATATATTTTTTTTCATTAATACAACAGCTACCTTAAAGTAAAAAATCAAAATTACAATTTAAAAAAATTCAAGGTTAAATTACAAATACACCTCTTAAGATTTAGTGAAAATATAGATTATCTCTTATGATTTTAAAAATTATAAATATTTTCTTGTCAAAATTTTTTATTTAACATAATTAATGAAAAAATCCTAATGACACTTCTATACAATAATAAAATTACTTAAATTGTTAATTGAAATATATTTATGATTATTATTAAAAACTCTTAATTAACTTAATGATTTAATAACAAAATAGATCATTTGTTATGCAATTAAATACTTAAGAGGGTGAGATGTAATTTCCACATTTATAGCAGAAAAATTATATTTTAAATAAATCTCAAGAGATGTGTTTTTAATTTACTTGAAATTTAAGTATTTAGTGTAAATAGCCCTGTGTCTTGCACGGGCATGCTTTATATATATAAGTCCCTAAATATTTTGTAGTCCATTTTTTTTTGTTTTGTTTTTTTTTTTTTGTTTTGGGTATTTCAAGAACCCTGTAGTTTACCTGTTTAACATTTATTTTGCTATAAAGTCTCTTCATATATATGACTTTAATAAATTGACTAGTATGATGGGTATTTATTTTTTAAATTCATGCTATGAAAAGTAAAATTTTTAATTTTTTGCTCGAATATATTTTGACTAAATAAAATAATATATTTCAACTAAATTAAACTGAACCAATCCAAAAATTATTTGTCTTAATTTTGCATTGATCATGACTCTAACCCTGTATCTACCTTAAAGATAAAAAACACTGAAAAAAGATCATGTATTGCAATTATTTCTATCATGGTAAAGATTATAATTTTAATAATTAATATTTATAAAATTTACTACTTATTTGTAATTATTATTAAAAATTAAAGTGAATTAAAACTTTCTCAATTATTTTAATTTTCTCCAATTTATTTTTTTTCATAGTAGTTTTCATCATTAATATTTACTATTACAAAATGCTATTGACCTCATAGAATCACCATCTCGGATTATTCTAGGTAATATATGTTTGTGTGGTGGAGATTGAATTCATAAAGTATGAGATTATTATTTTTTAACCTCTACAAAATAATCATTCCAGTATATATTTTTTTTCATTAATACAACAGCTACCTTAAAGTAAAAAATCAAAATTACAATTTAAAAAAATTCAAGGTTAAATTACAAATACACCTCTTAAGATTTAGTGAAAATATAGATTATCTCTTATGATTTTAAAAATTATAAATATTTTCTTGTCAAAATTTTTTATTTAACATAATTAATGAAAAAATCCTAATGACACTTCTATACAATAATAAAATTACTTAAATTGTTAATTGAAATATATTTATGATTATTATTAAAAACTCTTAATTAACTTAATGATTTAATAACAAAATAGATCATTTGTTATGCAATTAAATACTTAAGAGGGTGAGATGTAATTTCCACATTTATAGCAGAAAAATTATATTTTAAATAAATCTCAAGAGATGTATTTTTAATTTACTTGAAATTTAAGTATTTAGTGTAAATAGCCCTGTGTCTTGCACGGGCATACTTTATATATATAAGTCCCTAAATATTTTGTAGTCCATTTTTTTTTTGTTTTTTGTTTTGGGTATTTCAAGAACCCTGTAGTTTACCTGTTTAACATTTATTTTGCTATAAAATCTCTTCAAAAAAAGTAAAATTTTTAATTGTTTGCTCGAATATATTTTGACTAAATAAAATAATATATTTCAACTAAATTAAACTGAACCAATCCAAAAGTTATTTGCCTTAATTTTGCATTGATCATGACTCTAACCCTGTATCTACCTTACAGATAAAAAACACTGAAAAAAGATCATGTATTGCAATTATTTCTATCATGGTAAAGATTATAATTATAATAATTAATATTTATAAAATTTACTACTTATTTGTAATTATTTTTAAAAATTAAAGTGAATTAAAACTTTCTCAAGTCTTAATCTAGTGTGTACTGTATCATTAGACTTGACCATTTGCCTTATAGTTTTGCATTCTTGACAAAAAAGTCCCAACTCTCTGCCACTGTAAATACCATTTTTAAGTGTAAATTATAACATTAGTTTTAATAGTTTAAACAAAATGTTGTTTTAGTTTCCGTTATTTTAATTTGAATAATTTATATCTTACATTTTTAATTTTATTACAATATAATCCTTTCATTATGCATTATTAACAATCTAAATATAAAAATATCAAGTGTAAAATTAGAGGGACTAAAGCGAAATTTAAAATAAACTATAAGACTATTAGTGTAGTTTCTTTTGAATTCCATTTCCGTCTTGTAGTTTTGCATATAATTTTTTTGGTTTAAAATTCTAACAGCAAGTGACAAAGGAATTACATTGCAACAAAATTAAAAAGGTGGGGTTCAAATTATTCAAATTAAAACTACGATGATCAAAGTAAAATTTTGCTCAAACTAAACCTTTCGGCCACGTTTGTTTGGCGAATTATGTTAGATGAAATTGTTAGTGAAAGGATTGTTAGTGAAGAGATTATTAATGAGAGATTATTAGTGAGAGGATTAAGTAAAAGTGTATTTGTTTTGATGATAGTATGAGAGATGATTAGTGATGAGATTGTTAACTTATTTTTATATAAAATAAATAAATAAATTATTTCTATATTAAAAAAAATTAGAACAAATATTAAAACAAATAGGTGCACTTGGTTAAAAAAAATAAAATTTTTATATAAAATAAACTCAATCCCCTCACTATTTTTCTAATCCCACCCAAAATTCAGTCTAGTTAATCCCTCTATGTGAGGGTATTCATAGTCTCATCAGACTACTAGTCCCTTTCTATTTTTGTCAACCAAACATGGGCTATGTAGGACCCATAGCATTGATAATCCAACCCCCCCACCTATAGAGTCAAACAAACATGACCTTCATGTATTATTCCATTCTTCAAAAAACAATTTGCAGATAATAGAGATATTTTTACCTCTTTTTATTAAAATTTCTAGAATATGATTGTGAAGTGTATAAAAGGGTGGTATTTATTAAAAATTTGCTGATATTGCTATCTATCCGTCTTTCCCCGATTGCGTTCTATTCGGAACAGAGTGGAGCTCTATCAAAATTTCAATTTTTCATTAAACACATTAAATAAAAAATTTAAGCATGATAATTTTCTGATAATTCTCTATAGACAATCTATAAAATAAAAAAAAAAACCATTAAATATTTGTGTAACAAATTTTAGGATAAACTACCAATAGTTCTAATAGTTGAACTTAATTTTCATTAAGTTCTATTAAAAATAAGACTTAATAAAATTATCGTTAAAAACAATTTTTTGTGATGAGTTTTTGCACATGTCACTAAAAATTGACAATTAGTGGCTTTTTTTTTTGTCACTGTTCTTATAAATTATCGCTAAAACTTATAATTAGTAACATTTTTCTATAACAAATTTTTTAAACTATCGCTGAAAGTTGAAAATATTGACTTTTTTGTGACGATTTTTTTTGAAATTACTGCTAAAACTTCTAATTAATTATATTTTTTATGACAAAACTTTCAAACTATCGCTGAAAATTAACAAGTAGTAACGTTTTTTTAATAATGTTTGATAAAAATATTATTAATTATCATAAAATCTATTAGACAATAAATTCACCTATTAAGACTTACACGTTAGCCATCCAAATTCTATTATAGGGTTTTCATAGACTCGTAATTATTGTTACAATTGAAATGGGGAAGGATTTTTTATTGAAGAGAATCAATATTGATTTGCGTAATTTACCCCCGAAAGATAATTATAAGAAATTTTTTTTTAAAAAGAAACATGGACAAATTACACTTGTAGTTTCTATATTTTGGTCATTATATTATTTTGGTTTTTATAATATCAGTTGTCATAATTTTGATCATGAATTTATGATTTTATCCAAATTTGTTTAAATTAATTAAACTATTAGTTTTTTTTTAGAGCTGCTGTTTTCACTCCACTTTACTCTAAATACAATCCATTCTTTGCTCAAAATACATTAATATCTTTGAAATTTTAGTTTTTTCAGGGAGTGTATTTTTTGTGAAGAAATATTAATATAACTATATATAATAAAGGATAAACAAAGAAGTGTATTTAGAGCAAAATAGAGTGAGAATAGCGGCTCACTTATATATATACATATTATTTTAATCTTAATTTTAACTTTTTTTTTGAAAATAGTCATATGAACAGGATGTGTCAAGTTTTTATAAACAAAATCTGTGAACTTATTCAACTCAATGAATTAATTTTAATGAATTCAGTAACTATTTTTCTTCAAAATCCTTAATTGACGTTATCAATTAGATTAAATTGATACAAAATTTTAAATTAAGAATTAAAATCAAGTTAATTGAAATTAAAAGGATTAAAATAACACAAGAGATAAAATATAGAGAGTAGTGATATAATTTGCCCAAAAAATATTTAAATTGTGAGATTTACTCATGGCATTCAGTATTTTATTTATTATTAAACGTATGATATCTTGTGTCAATGTGAAAGTATGTACTGAAGTTTTTCTCATTTAATTTGCAAGGTCAGTTAGTGTATCCTTCGCCAAAGTCAAATAATCCAGCAATCTAGAATTTTGAAAGGTCATGTTGATTTGATTAGTCAAAGTAAGCGCTAGGCAATCTATATGTGTACATGTTCTTCTCTTCAACATCTTTCACAACAAACACTTCAGCTATTATTTTTTGTGTTCTTGAAAAAAAGTTGCAAGGAAACAGAATGATGCCTATGGTTGTAATAACTCCCTTGTTTTTTTCTCTATTGCTTCTGTTTGTTATCCTCCCACACTGTCTGATCGTGGCACAGGTTTCCTCCATAGATGCGGTGTGCTCGGATGCCAATTTCACTGCTGGTAGCCAATTTGATATCAACCTGAACCACACCCTCAACCGGTCACCGCTTTACATTGATAATAATAGTGGCAAAGCGATCTACCCCAACGTGACAGAAGGGGATGACCCAGACAAAGTTTATGCTCGGTTCCTCTGCATCGGTGAGGTTTCCTTGAGTAACTGCCAGAATTGCCTCGAGCAGGCAAGCAGTGAGATTGTAAAAAGATGTCCCTTCAGAAAAGAGGCATATATATGGCATAATGTGTGTTTTATTCGCTACTCAAACAGATCTTTCTTCTCTACCATGGAGATAGGATCACCAATTTGTGTTATTGTTCTTCAAGACCTACCCAAATATGGTTTGCAGGAAATATTCACTAAACTGAGAAGTGAGGCAATTTCCAATACTTCTAAGCCCACTATGTATGCAGACAGAGAAGATCCTATCTCAACTGATTGGAAATTGTCTAGCATGGCACAGTGTACAGCAGACTTGTCACCAACGTATTGCAATTCTTGCCTGTCTGGTGTAACTGATCGTATTCAAACATGCGCAGCTGGAAAGATAGAAGCGAGAACTTTCACACCAAGCTGTATCCTTAGTTATAAGTTCTCCACGAATTGGGTTCCTATTCCTCCAGTTGCCGTAGATGCTCCTCCTCCTAAAGCTCCTGAATCTGCAGCCAATAAGACTGACAACGGCGCCGCTAGTGGTGGTGAGTGTTTGATTCTTTTTACTTGAGAAATTATTTAATAATCCTGTAGCAATACTCTATTTCATTTACAGGTTAACACTTGACACTTTTATCTCTTAAAACTCTAACATAAAAATGGTAATTCCCATGATTTAAACCTATAACTCTTCATTTTGATCACCACCTAAACTTGCTCCATGAGCATTGAATAATTTCTCCTTTTAGGTACCTAAAAAATCTTGGATAATAGATTTGTGTATGGATTTGAAAAAGAAAATAAGAAAATTGAGTAAATTGTAGTTGTTAGTATATGTATTATATGTTAGTGTATATATATATTAGTTGTAAAATACCAACTAGCTTTAATAATGTTGTCTCCTTAGTGTATGCTTTCCCCTTTCGGTGGCCCTTTCCCCTTTCGGTGACCACTTTCCCTTTAGGCCATGATGTTGTTTTGTATAGTGTGTATATCACTTAGGCCATTTTCTCCTATATAAAAGAGACTGTGTATAACATTCAATATATCAATAAATACACAATTTATGCTCTCTCTCTCTATCAATTTATCTTACATGGTATCAGAGTTAGGTTAAGAACCTAGTAATTCTGCTTCACCGGCAGGCGGCAGCCTCGCCTTGGCCGCCCACTGGACCTCTACACATACCTTCTTTATACCTTCGTTGGCATCATCCCTTCCGACCCTCTGCATCTTTGGTGAGGAGCACTCATGCTCCAACCATGACCCATCATTCCGGCCTTTCTCCGGCAGCTTCTTTTGGACTTTCCGCTGCCTTCTTACCATCTTCTTCTCTGCCGATGCTTACTCAGCCACTCCAGCCATCATGCTGGCAGATCTAGTTCTTCACCGTCGCCTTCTCCTCTGGCCAACGCCGACCACGCCACCTGTCACCACTGCTGCAGACGCCGTGACACAGGTTCCTGCTAGCTCACCACCAACGCAGCCGCCGCCGATGAGCTCGCTGGCTGGAGTGGCGCCGAGGACCAACTTTTCCATGAAGTACAACTCCGAGGTTCTGAAGAGGAGATAGTCACACGGGTTTAGAGAGAGAGAGGGCACCCATACACTACACAGGCACACGGCATACAGAGACTCAACACATACGGTCACAGACACCACACATACAACACACACACACGGTTTTGAGATCAAAAGACACCACAACACCATTCACAACAGACACACACCATTCATACAGAGCCACCACACAAATAGACTTTCTCACTCTCACTTCCCGTGGTCTCCCACATGCACTTTATGATGAAAACATTTTTTTTTAACCAAACCCAGCTCTCTCTCTCTCTCTAACAGAGCTCTCTCACTCTCTCGGCACCTCTCTCTCTCGGACTTCCTCCTTTATTTTATTTTTTATTCATCACCATATCCTCCACCACCTCCCTTTCTTTTTTTTTTTCTAAACAATATTTTTGAACAAACAAACCAACAAACCATGTGCTGGTTTTACCCAAATTAATGGGCCACCCTACACCCAAATCAATGACTCTTTCATATTTTATTAATCTAATGGCTGGCACCATCATGGGTTGGTTTGAACAAAACCGTGGGCCCCATTATCACTTTATTTTATTTTATTTTCCTTTTTCCATTAAAAAAAAAAAAAACATCATCCCTTTTCTCTCTCGAGATTTCCTTATTTTAACACTCCGTTGGTGAGCTTTTCCAGATTCTTATTCCCACTACCTTCTTTTTATTTTCTTTTATTTTTTCTATCTTTCTTTTTTCATCAATATTTCATTATTATACATCTCAGTTGGTGAGCATCATCCATTTTTCCATTATTTTATTATTATTATTATTTTTCCACCACCACCACCAAAAAAAAAAAAAAAAAAAAAAAAACATTCCATTTGTTTCAACCTCCAATAGGTTTCTATCTTCAAGCCTATTTGAGTTTGAGGGGGGGTTATACATATATCATGGTGAGCATGGTTACACACCATACGAACCACCCAAGCTACCCCATGGCGCACTCCTTAAGTCGCCACCTTGGTGCACCACCAAATTCTTCTGCAGCGGTCCGGCATGACCTCGTAAACTATCCCGACATTGATTTCGGTCAGCTTTTACAACGGTCCGGCATGACCCCGTAAACTGTCTCGACATTGATTCCGGTCAGCTTCTACAACGGTCCGGCATGACCCCGTAAACTGTCCCGACATTGATTCAGACATTATCTGCTATAACGGTCTGACACGACCATACAGTGTCTTCTCCAACGGTGTGACACAACCATACCGTGTCTTCAACAACGATTTGACACAACCACACAGTGTCTCCTATCCTAATTTATTTTATTTATCAGTTTACTTTCCTGTTTTGTTACTCTCTCCAAACTCAAGTTGGTTAGTACCTATCCTCCTTGAGTTTGAGGGGGGCTCTTAGTATATGTATTATATGTTAGTGCATATATATATTAGCTGTAAAATACCAACTAGCTTTAATAATGTTGTCTCCTTAGTGTATGATTTCCCCTTTCGGTGACCACTTTCCCTTTAGGCCATGATGTTGTTTTGTATAGTGTATATCACTTAGGCCATTTTCTCCTATATAAAGGAGACCGTGTATAACATTCAATATATCAATAAATACACAATTTATGCTCTCTCTCTCTATCAATTTATCTTATAGTAGTTATATTTCACGTCTCTTTTTAAGTTATCAATTAGGTCATCAAATGATTAGATCTCGGCCGTTTGATTTACATTCTTAAGTTCAGGGGATAACTTACTAATATATCATGGCAATCGGTTGAGGTTTCGCCATTAATTGTCTCCAGTCATATAAATCAACCCATTTCAAGATCAGAATTTTGGGATCAGAATCAAGGTAAAATAACTTCAAAAATAGATTCTACACGTCAAAAAATTTTAGAATAATCATTTTCGGGGTCAAAGTCTTACCCGATTGGGTTAAATACACTAATGTATAAAATAGTTTTCATAACACAATCACACAGGATTTTTTCTTTTGTCTTCTTCCTTCCAGCAATTGCTGGTTTTCTTTTCTGAAATTGGGTCCGTTTCGTCAAAAGTAGTATTTGAGTACCACACATAAAAATGGATTTGAGCGTTTAGATTGAAATCTTTAATCTGAACCATTGAAAAAAGAAAAAAAAAAGAAAAAGAAAAAGTCACCACAGCTATTATCATTGCTCTCTCTCTCTCTCTCTCTACCGTGTTCTGTCAAGCTTCCTTAGCATTCCTTCTCTTCCCCTCTTCCTCTCTCATTCCCTTGTCTATGAAAACGCTAACACCTTGAAGCCACAACAACAAGAAGAGCAGACGATTAACATGTGAACCCTCTCCACAACTCTCACTGCTCAAGATCTCACCCTTTTCCAACAAAAGATGGGTTGTTGCTTGACACCAAATCTGGGAACAAGATCGTCACTTTCTATCTCAAAAACCCCTGTGCTCGCCTCACCCTTCTCTACTCTCACGGCAATGCTGCTGATCTAGGCCAGCTCTACAACCTCTTTGTTCAACTCAAAGCCAATCTCATCGGGCCAGTTCTTTTTCGCTTTGACTTTCTCATGTAGATTCAGAGGTTTTTTTTTTTTTTTTTGATTTTTAGAAAATCTTTTTGGGTTAATTTTTTATGGGGTTCTCTTCCATTCTAATAAACGTATATATGATTTTTTACCTATTGATTTTTTTTTTTTTGATTTTTAGAAAATCTTTTTGGGTTAATTTTTTTTGGGTTTCTCTTCCATTCTAATAAACGTATATATGATTTTTTATCTATTGATTTTTTTCAAGTTATCTTGATTTTTTTTTTTTTTTTGATTTTTAGAAAATCTTGGATATGGTAAATCTTATGAATTTTGTAGCTTTTGAGTTTTGGATTTCTCTGCAATGTAATAGTTGTTTGGATTTCTCCTCGACAAGGATTTTAGTAGCACAATGATCGTTATGAAATATAGGGATATTTTGTAAAGATTGTTAAAAATCATTTTTTAACTTTTAACTCATTTTAGGTCATATTATCTCTCACATTTTTTACACATTTTGAAAAAAAGAAAAATTAAAAAAATCAATTTTTAACCATTTTCTTAAAACAACCAGTAGATTAAAAATGTCTATGTTGAACTCAAATCCCCTAATTTTAAATTCATCCATCCAAACGTAACATCACTACAAGAAAAAGCATCTTTGGCGACTAAAAAGCACATTGGGTCGCTGAAAGTATAGGATTTGGCAACTAACAATCCGTTTGGTCGCCGATATAGGACTTTTACCGACTAAAAATATTTTAGTAGCCTTTAGTAGCCAAAAGTGAGGCATTGGGCGACTAAATAGATATTTAGTAGCCAAATGTGATGCTTTTACCGACTAAAAAATTTTAGTAGCCAAAAAAAAATAATTTGCGACTAAAAAGATGTTTAGTAGCCAAATGTGATGATTTTACTGACAAATAAAATTTTAGTAGCCAAAAGTGAGGCTTTTTGGCGACTAAAAATAATTTAGTAGCAAAGTGTTAGGCTTTTTGGTGACTAAAAAAAAGTTTAGTCGCCAAAAGTGGTAATTTTAGCGTGGCAATTAATTTTTTTAGCGGCTTTAAAAATTAGTAGCCAAAAGTATAGAATTGGCGACTAAAAGAAGTTTTGTCGCCAAAAGTTGTCTCTTTTTTTTCTAGTAAATAATTTATTTTTACATAAATTCAATAAAAAATAATTATATTTATATATATACTTTTATATTAATACGGGTATATGTACTATATAAATAATATATGTTGATATATAATCATATGGTGTTATAGAGGTGTAGTGGAAAAAATGCCCTTGCATAAGGTTTATGATATGGGAGGTTGATGGTTCAAATCTTCACAACAAGAGCAAATGAGAAGCTTAATGAGTGTAATTTTCTTTTTT